TCCGTCCTCTCGAGGACGCGTGGTCAACGGTCTAACCGCTAAGACATGCAAAACATAAGAGTACGCCCCCCCCACCCCCACGAATTCACGTGCCCGCAACTGTTTTCGTGCTTTTCAGACAGCGGACGAGCTTCCTGAGGCATTCCCAAGCCCGCTGCGCGTCAGGTTTAGTTAGGAGATTTGCTGGCGAACTTACTGCCATTACAGCAGTGGTGTGAAGTTATTTCACCTACTTGTTCTTGTTGCTCGGGGCGAGATGCCGGGGCGAGTGGATACTCTCCGCTACTTTTCTGGCCGAGTCTGTCTGGGGAGCAGAAAAAATGAACAACTACACAACGTCTCCTATTGTTTGTGGCACAATCAGCAATTAGCTTCTTTCGTATGCTAGAGAAATTGTAACTGTTGGGTTTCTCTTATGCCCAAGAATAAGACTTGTGTGTGAAAAGAGGGAATCGTCCTCGACAGACGTTTGGGAGGTCGCACCCTCATGAAGGGATCTCTGCATTACCCACCCCCCTTGTCGAGAGAGCCTGGTCCGGTGAGAACCCGGCGTGCTCCGTCCCGGCTTTGTAGGGATGCGAGGTCAATGGTCTAACGACTACGGCATGCACGACTATGAGTACANGCTGTCGATTGTTCTTGGCTGCTAGACAAGAAGGCTTAGATATTGGGGGTTGTCGGAACCCGACCGGCTGGTAGGTAGTCGATTCGCTTCCTTCACCAATTTCTGTGCGTGATTGCCCGGGTTCGCTACGCCCGCCACCATTGATCGGATTGTCCGCATCTTTGGCCCGTTGGAAATGCCGCACGCCAATCAAGGCATCGAATAGTATCAAGCCCTCAACTCTGGGTGAGCGGAGGTCCGGAGTGTTGTAGCCATATGGCCTTCCGCCGGAGGCTGCCTATTTCCTTTGGTGCAATGTGGCGAGGGGTGCCGAGCGGGACCGAGCGAACTCAGTCAATAGCTATAGGGTGGTGTGGAGAGTTAGACGAGCCTTCAGTACACCCGAGAACCAATCACACGACCATCACACCGGGAAAGGGGCGCAATAATAACTGACCTGAGGCGGCGGTGTTTCCCCTCGTCCCAGCAGGTAGACGTAGCCTTGTATTCCAACAAGGGGAACAAGCTTCGAGGAAGGCGGCATACATCCAACCGTTTCAATACTCGCGACAGATGATGCCTACAATAGGTCACGCTTGATCCGCCGTCAGTCTGGCCAATGTCTTGGACTGTTGCTTTGCTTCCCCTCCTGTGATAGCACTCCCCGCCTCATCTAGTCAACAGGTTGAGCAGCGGCGTATCGAAACAGCTCCGGCAATTCTCTGGTCCCTCTCTATGTAGATACCGGTGCACACCGTGCTAGCGTAGATCAACTACGTGGGTGCAACGGCGGTTGATCGCAGCTCTCAACTGAACAAAATTAGAGGGGAAGCCAAGCAATTCATGCTACGACGAAATATAACGGTAGTGTAGAGGTTGTGCTCGAGGGTACATCCAAAAATGCTAATATGCGACACCGGTGTCGAAACGTCTTCGAATCCACCGCCACCGCTCGTCATGCTGTCTGTCTTTGATGGTGGACTACAGTAGAGCTTAGCAGACACGTGAACCAAAGTTCGTCTGACAACGCCCCTCCTCGTGGAGGCTTCAAAAATACACACGAGTCAGTCCTGCAAGGAAACAGCAGCTACACCCCACCAGCGCGTTGCAATTCAATCACACTTTTTCAGAGAGGCGATGTAGACTGTGTAGACACCATCGTTCACGCAAGGAGATACAAAGGAGATACAAAGGAGATCCGACACACCTTCGTTCTCCCCAAAGCTTGCTAGGGACCCCGTCTGGTGCCCCTTTTGGCGGCTGCTGGTTGCTCTGCTCGCGGGACTGCCCTTGTTTTTCGCGTTGCATCGCGTATCGGAAATCAGAAGACGGACATGGAGAGAACCTGAACCACTCTCTGTCCCACCTTCCCCTCCGCCAATACTCCAGCGCTCCGTCTTCGCTCCTCACTCCTCGATCCCACCTCTCCCCACATCTCACTGGTGTAAACCAGCAGCGCATAACTCTGGCATAGTCAGCCGTAAGCTGCACAATGGACGCACTTGTGAAAATTCCCAGGGCTTTATAAGCGGAGTCAAGGGCTTCTTTGACGGTGAGAGACATGCAAGCAGTAGACGTCTAGATGTGTCAAACCTACGATATGTTTCAAAGCATAGTCTGTGGAGGGTAACTTGCCATCGGGAGAAGCGGCAAGGAAAACACAGACGAGATTTGTCTCTTCCGAAGTCCATGGCCGATTGCCGAGGGAAAAGACCGAGAGCCTCCGGCTCTCCTCTCTCGACCCTCTGGTCACTCATTCTTTTCCTTCCTCTCCTCGTTACGTCTCACGAAAGGAAATGGCCAACCTTGGCAGTGGGAGAATACTGCAAGAGTACCGGCCTCTGTCTCTGGCAGGGACTAGTATCCTCAAGTCCCCTAATCCGTCGTGCCTTCGCGTCTGTATTGTTCTGATATGTAGTCTACAGCAGTTTCGACCTCGTCGCCATCCTGTCCTAGCAGAGGGGAAACTGAAGCCCTAGAAACCAGTTGAGAGTTCGCCTGACAGATGTGATCAGCAAGTGCCTCTGGGTATCCCGCCGGGGCCGGCGGTCGCACGATGGCGACAGGTTTCGGGTGAACCGATGGATTCATATGTCGTCATGAAGTTGTAAGTAGTAGGTTCGCTTGTTGGTATTTTTGCAGTGCACTAGCCGTGCGTGGCCCCTTGCGCTAGACAGCTGGTGTAAGGCTAACGAAGACAAGCAGCGCGGATGGATAGTCTCGACTAGATGTGCCCGACATGAACTGCCCCCTTTCCCGAGATTTCAAGCGCTCCCTGGTCCTAACGCCACCATGAACCCACCATGTATCCAAACATCCCTCCCCCTTCTTTACCCACTGTCTTGCGCTTATTCCTTCCTGTGACAATACGCTTTGCCTCATCTAGCTTCGAGGTTGAGCCGCGGCGTATCGCAACAGCTCCGGCAACCCTCTAGTCCCTCTCTTGAATCACCCCGCCGCTCTCAAGTTCCCACCCGTGGCGGCCATGTACAGCGTAAATCGACTGGGGGGGGGGGGGGG